CCTCTGCACCCGAGAGGGCACCCCAGCCCCCCTCGCCCTCTCCGCAGCGGCTGCTTCTCGGCAGCCACAGCCCGGCTCAGCCCGCTACCTCTGGCCTTGTATGCAACGCTATCATTATTTAAATGCAATAAACACCCAGCTATTGGATTTTCACCCAGAGCCATAGGAATGCGATGTCCGAGAGGAGAATCAGATGGATTAGGCCCACGCAGGCACTCCTGTACGATGGAGCTGTGCCCGGTGGTGATTAATGCCGAGCAGAGGTGACTGATTCATTAATGCTAACGGACATCTTCAATACTTGTAGCTCATTATTACCATTGATGGCATAGGGAGCACCTCAGTTTTCATTTGGGCTCGATCTTAGCTGGAAGCATCAGCACATGCGATCCTGAGGCCAGAGAGAGCAGGATGCCCGGGTCCTCCAGCCAGGGCTCTGCTGCAAGCCCCGGCCGTCTCCCAGTGATCCCACACTGAGGAGCTGGAGTAGGGGCAGGTCCTTCAGCTCCACTAAGGAGGTGGGGAGGCCAGGATAGCCTCTTTGGAAGTTTTTCCAACTATTAATCCTCTGTAGCACCACAGCCACTTGCCTTGCCCTGCCAAAGTCCAACTCTGTCCTCTCTGAGCTTCTCGTGTGTCCCTCAGACCACCAAAGGTGGTCCTGAGGCTGCGTCCACCCTAGCGCGCCCTGCCCAAGGAAAGCCTCGCCAGCTTTCTGCCCATCACAGGGCACTTGCTTCTCAGGCCTCCGTTTCCCTGGCTCCCGCAGCTCACGGCCGTGCTCCTTGTCTTCTTTCCACAGGGAATTTGCTCGCTGGAAGGTGAATAACTTGGCCCTGGAGAGGAAAGATTTCTTCAGCTTACCACTGCCCCTCGCCCCTGAATTCATCCGCAACATCCGCCTGCTGGGACGCAGGCCCAGCCTGCAGCAGATCACCGACAACCTCATCAAAAAGTATGGGACGCACTTCCTGCTCGCCGCCACGCTGGGAGGTGAGCGCTGCCCACCGGGCCCCTCACCGAGGCTGCGGGGCTGCAGACGCCACTCGCTCCCTTTTCCAACCACGCGGATGGCTTGGAAAATAAAGGCCATAGGGGTTTTTGGAGCAATAGGGCCAAGGGAGGGGAGGCAAGAGACCCAGCTGCCCCTGAAACACGTGGCGTGTCCCTGCAGGAGAGGAGTCCCTGACCATTTTTGTGGACAAACGCAAGCTGAGCCGGCGAGCAGAGCCCATCGGTGCCGGAGGAGGGGTTGGGAACAGCTCCGTGGTCTCGCTGGAGACCCTGCACCAGCTGGCCGCTTCCTACTTCATCGACCGGGAGAGCACGCTGCGCCGGCTCCACCACATCCAGATCGCCACGGCGGCCATCAAGGTAGACGAGGAGTGCGAGGGAGAGGGCTGCGTGGGGAGACAGCACCCCGGGACTCACCAGCAGCTGTTTAAAGCCGGTCGAGGCTGCAAAGCCCAGGCTTGGGCCTGCGCTCGGGTGTGCATGACTGTGGGCAACGGCTGCCGCTGCAGGCCCTTGGAACGGGCTAGAGCAGACCTCCGCGGCCGGGCAAGCCCC